CCCCCAGATCTCCACCCATGGTCTTTTCCACACCTGGTATGAAGCTGTGCCAAGAGGAGACAAATATCTGGGAGGCGGCCACGAGGCCAGTGTTCCTGAGTGGGGTGTGGCCCACAGACGTGTTGGCCCGCGGTCGTGTTCAGGGACAGATGGTTGTTCTGACCAAGTATGAAGTCAACGTTCCGGGAGTTTCCTCTTCATCACTTCACTCTTTTGTCTTGATCCTTTTCTGGGATGGGGAGGGAATGGAACCCATCCCAGCAGACAGCGGGTGAGTGTGGGTTACACCCTGGACGTCTGGTCTCTTTAGACAACTGCCCACAACACATGATGTCCACTATACTACAGACATTAACTGGCCCACATCTAGTACACACACTAGGATGTGGGACACGCCTTAGCCAAAAATGGCCGACTCACAGTACAAATGTCTATGGTCTAATGGGCTAATAAAAAGTTGGCTGCATATCTATATATATCTACTCCACATGGGCCACTCTTTCAGCCCATTGGTCACCCAAAGGTTAACACCTTATAAGGGTCTTTGGAGAGGCCCTGATCTGTATGTTGGACCACACCAGTGTGGCCAGAATAAAATAGGTTCAAATGTTGGCTACAGCTAATATGTGGCCCACATTTTTTTAGTGGATGCCAAAAGATGCGCCGTGTTTTAACCCTCTGGTCCAGGACCCATGAGTGGACCGGGCGACCCGAGTGGGCATCATCTGAACCCTCTGACTTCACACCAACATTCCTCTGACTGACCTTTAACATGAACTTCTCTGTGGTGACCTGGACTGCAAAAATGAGGTCCACACCTGTATGTGGGCCATAGGTTGGGCCTCACTTTAACTGCCGTTTCCTGGGTTAAATCCTCTGAGTCTGTTCTACACATTTATTTCACATCTTCTTTCATCATCTCTTTGGTGCTGCTTTCCTCCCCTGCCTCCCCCCTCCTTTTCCCCCTCGTCTTTTCCCCCTCGTCTTCTCCCCCACCTCCCCCACCTCCCCCACCTCCTCGGCCAACT